ACAAGTCACAAGGGGGAGTTAATTAGTTTAAATGGAGCGTTGAGCTCATGGCAAGAATCACAGGGGCATTCTAGCAAGGTAATCCTGGTGTCCTGGTTCTGGCAGTATGCCTGTGTGAATATGTCACTCTGCTCCCTGCCAGAAGTAGGTCCCAAAGACAGAGATTTCTTCAGGAGATCCCAGCAGTGGGCTTAGGAAGTGAATCAAGGAAAGTGATTATCAGTAACAAAATGAAGACGTAGTGGGCCCTGTGACTTTATAAATGGCCTTTAGAAGATGCTGTCTGGCTGGGCTTTGGTGGCACACTCCTTTAATCCCAGCACTCGGGAGGCAGAAGCAGGCAGATCTCTGTGAGTTTGAGACCAGCCTGGTCTACAAGAGCTAGTTCCAGGACAGCCTCCAAAGCCACAGAGAAACCCTGTCTTGAAAAACAAAACCAAAACCAAAAAGCACACAAACAAAAAGATGCTGCCTGTAAGACGTTGTAAATAACATTGGCAAGAAGATATTAATGACACACTATTAGGTCCATACAGTAACTCAGCCTCGTTGAGGTGCTTGCTCCTAGTCTCTGAAGTGTGTATGAGTATGTCTCAGGTGAGTCTTCAAGAGGTCAAGTTGTATTCACTCACTTTCTTATGGCCGTGATAGATAAAATCCCTGACAAGAGAACCTTATGGAAAGGAAGCATTCATTGCGCTCACAGTTTGAGGGTACACAGTGCACCATGGTGAGGAAGTCATGGCTGCAGGAGGCAGCTGGCTGGTCACATGGTGTCCACAGTCAGGAAGCAGAGAGGTGAATGCTGGTGCTCAGCTCACTTTCTCCTTTTTATTTGGTCCTAGACCCCAGCCTGTGGGATGGTGCTAACCACATTTAAGGTGGGTCTTTCCCCGGTCAATCAACCTAATATAGATAATCCCTCCCAGACACACCTAGATGTTTGTCTCCTGGGATACTCTAGACCTTGTCAAACTGACACTATTAACCACTGACTCTGGCTGGTTATATTGTGTTCTCCTGAGAGATACTGACTTCCGGTCCTTCCATTCTGTCACACATGAGGAGGGAGGCCAAGAACCCCAGTGCTTGTCTGCAGAAGCCCTCCATAAGGATGAAGTTAAGATTCAGCCTGATAGGGCCCTATACAGTGCCTGAGAGATTGATCTTCTTAGGTGTTTTCTGGTCAGCAAAACCAAACAGCAAACAAACGAAAATTGAACGAAAATTCCAAACATACAAGCAAGAGAAGAGAGGCTCGAGCATCACCATGGTAACAACAGTGACCCTGATCTTTAACAACACAGAGAAAAGGCTTCCAGACTATGCTCGCTGGATGGAAATGCAGAGCACAATGTGGGACGAACATACTCGTGTCAGGGTAGCACCTGTCCTCAAGAGAACATGTACACGGGCCCCCACCCCTTCCATCTTAGACTGATGAAGAATCTCAGAGATGCTTTGTTCAATAAACAGGTTTCTATGGAGGGTCTGCCAGTGGTGTCTGGGTCTCCTCCCACATAGACTGCTTACAATAAATCCTTGCCTGTGTTGGCTTCGGGGGAATGAAACACGGGAGCCATGGAGTGCACATAGTACAATGGTTCTTTTTGTGTGTTTGTGTGTGCTCATGCACATGCATGTGAAGGCCAGAGGACAACTTGGGGTGTTGCCCACCTCTTTTTTTTTTTCCTTTTTAGATCAGATTGGACTTCTCTGACCTGGAACTCACAAAAATAGTCTAGTCTGGCTGACCAGTAAGCCACAGGTGTCTGTCTGTTTCTACCTCTCCAGGGTTGGGATTATAACTGAATAGCATCATGCCTGCCTTTTTTACACAGGTGCTAGGGACCAAGCTCAGCGCTCATGTTTGTTGGCAAAGCACTTCACCAACCAAGCCATTTCACAATGCCTCTTAGAGTTCTCTTTGTGGACCCAATGCTCCATTTAAAGCAAACATGCTGTCTTTTTTTCCTTTCATGTTGCGGAGTCCTCGTACAGGCTCAGACGGCTGATTGGGTCACTTGAAATAAGCTTACATGAGGCCAGTTGTGTCCTGGTTTACTAGAAACGTGGGCCTCATGGACTCATAGGCTAAAAGACATTGAAAGTTGATAAATTCACCAAGAAGAATCCCAAGGCTGGTAGCCTACATTTTATCAGAACTCAAAAAAATTCAAAATGGAATTTAGCCTGCAGATTTTCATGTGTCACCCGAAGTCCCCAAGCACATCTCATTAGACATATAAACTAAGCCTTTACCCAGGAGATACACTATCATTGCGTGCAGACTTTCACATAGTTTACTGATGGAAGTCACCAGAAGTTTGGCCTCTGCAGATAACAGACCAGTTCTGCCCAGTCTGAATTCCAGCCTCTGAGTCACCCAGTGACTCCATATCCTGCCCTGCTTCAGCCTGTCCCTGCTCCTGTCTCTGTCCTCCCCATCTGGCAGCACTGCTCCTCGGACTCTGTAGAAACGGAGATGGAGGGCAAGGATCAGTACCAGAAATTGACAGCTGGGGCCAGGTAGACATCTACTGAATCCTCCAATGGGCCGGTCACTGGATAGATGAAGTTAAAGAGATGCTGCCCCTTCCCCCAAGAAACACACAGAGAAATAGACCCTGGATGTTCTCTACATGAAGATGGAGAAAGTGAGGTCTATCCCCGTAAGGGTTGCAGAGATATAAAAAGGAAGTAGTATAAGGTGTGCCAAGCAGTGGCCTGAGCTGTGTGCTACCAAGATAGCATAGAACCAGAAGCTTTGGGGACAGTGAGATGGCTCAGTAGGTAAAGGAGATTTCTGCTCAATCCTGATGATCTGAGTTTGATCCCTGGAACACATGTAAAGGTGGGTCTGACTCCACAAATTGTCCTCTGATCTCTACATGTGTGTGGTGGCATGTGCACTCCTCACTACTGCCACTACCATAGCCAATAATAATAATAATATAATAATAATAATAATAATAATATTTAGGGCTAGTAAGATGGGTCAGTATAAGGGAGCTTGCCACCAAGCCTGACAACCTGAATTCAACCCCCAGAGGATTCACATAGTGGAAAGAGAGAATCAGCTCCCCAAAGTTGTCCCCAAACCACCACACTCAAGGTGTAACACATACATGCACATACATGCACACAAAGTAAATAATAAATATAAAATTAAAAATACACAAATCTAAAAAATGTAAATTTTCTTAAAATATTGTATGATTTTTTTGCCATGTTTTTTGTAACACAATTGCAAAGTTCCTTAGCATGAACTTTTGTGTGTGTGTCTGTTTTTATGGTATTGGGGATGGACCCCAGGGCCTCCCACTTGCTAAGCGAGCAAACCTTCTACAGCCCCACTTGAGTGTGAACTTGGTAGACTGCAAAGTCATGCCACAATGGTATAAGTGCCTATGAGCACACACTACAACATGGGTGAGCCCAGAGAACGTGATGCTCAGTGACAGAAGCCAGGCACAGCATGTGATAAGCTGGAAGATTTCATTTTTATGAAGTGTTCAGAATGGGCAAATCTAGAGACAGAAATATAGGTTTGTAGTTGCCAAGGGTGGGGTGAGGAGATGAAGATGAAATGCCATAATTACGATGAGGCTGGGGAGTCAGCTCAGAGGGCAAAGTACCTTGTCACAGAAGAGTGAAGAGATGAGGTCTGCCCCCAGATCCATGTTAGAGCCGAGTATAGAGAGATGCGTGTCTGCAAACCTAGCCCTGGGAAAGTGGAGACAGGAGGATTCCTGGGGGTGGGGGTGTGTGTCAATGGCCAGTCAGTCTAGTCAGTGAGCTCCAAGTTCTGTGAGAGCTCCCATCTCAAAAAACAAGGAGGGGAGAGATGGTTCAGAGATGAAGGCCCACACAGCAGTAGGAGAGAGCAACTTGTTCAAGTTTTTCTCTGCTCAAGATTGATAGCCTGAGTTTGATGTCTGAAACCACACACACACACACACACACACACACACACACAGAGAGAGAGAGAGAGAGAGAGAGAGAGAGGGGGGGGGAGAAGGGCGAGGGGTGTAATAAATTCATTTTTTAAGGAAAGCAGGTGCTGCAGAGAGAGCTTGGCAGTTAAGAATATATACTGCTCTTCCAGAAGACTTTTCCCTGCCTCCCACCTTGCTGTAGGAGTACTGGGATTAAATATGCACACCACCACATCTGGATTAGAACAATGGCACTGGGGATCAGGCTTGCTCACGTCTGCTCTTGCCCACTGAGACATCTTCCCAGTCTCGGGAAGTAGGTTTTGAGTTAAGCCTTAAAGGATAAGGAGGTAGGCAGGAAGGATTGAAATATTGTCAGAGGCCAGACTAATCAGCCTTGTGTACAAATAAGACATTTAAATTTTAGCCACAGACTCCGGACACTCTCCAGACAGTTTAGATGACGGGTAAGGATGGGTAGGTCTGAGTTTTGAATAAAAGGTTATATGATGACATGAAATAAATTTTGTAGGGAAGTTTTATCCTCCAGGCGGTATAAGTGATAACACGAAGAGTCAGAAGAGGACCTGTTTGTCTCATCAGGTTCTGGCCACACCAGGGGAAGGCCGTTATCATCTGGGCACAGATGCCATTCCACACAATGAGATTGTATGTAGGCACCACTCTGTATGTGTGCCATCCCGTTACTAACATTCATACCAGTTTTATCACATATCTGCCACACGCTGATGGCTTTTCTAGAAACACTGGGTACTCAGGTAATGGCAGAAAAAAATGAATGGTAAAGAATCTATCAAACAGATATCATAGCAACTTTATCTTTCTCTGGAAGAAATTTGAAAATGAATTGGTTTTCAAACAGGCATTGAAAAGAGTTATGTGAAGCCAAAACACAGACACATTCATCCTGAGCCATTTGTCTCATAAACAAAAGAGAGTTATTATTTGGTGCAAAGAAGGACGGGAAGATGGATGGTGGGTGCTTGTGGGGATGGCACAATATGAAGGAGCGAGGAACGAACTCCATCGTGCAGTCCTGGCCGTGGTCCCAGGATGAGCATGGCAGGTGTGTTGCTCCTGGGGCTCGCACTGAGCACTGGGGCTGCTGTGGCCAAGTTAGAAGGAAACCACCCCTGCTTAAGGAGCCAGGTGTTCTTCAGAGACACTTGCTATGAATTCATGCCTCTGGGGCATACTTTCCACGGTGCCCAGGGCTGGTGTGAAGGGCGCGGAGGCCATCTGGTCTTCATTCGTGATGAAGACACCCAGAAGCTCCTGCAGAAGCACATTACCCAAGACAGAGACTGGTGGATTGGACTCACAGGAACCTCAGCACCCAATGAGACTGTGGGAGGTAGGTGTTTTGTAGCTGTGTCTGATGGGAAATACTGCTGCTTCTCACCCAGAACCCCACGGGGCAAATGACCATGTCCTAATTTTAATGATCAGGAGGAGACCCTCCTCTTTAGTTGTTTGGTGGATCAGGTAAAATAATTCATTTACAGCAACTAGCAGAGAGATGGTCTAAAAACATGCTTGTATTCCTCTTGTTCTGGGGTCCATGCTGTCTGTGGCGTGGCAGAAGCCCAGGGAGCCTAAGGGAGATACAGATGGGTTTCTCTGAGGCTGAGACCTTCCCCAGAAGGTTGCCGAGTCTCACACATGAGCAGTTCCAGCAATCTTCTCAAAGCTCTAGAAACTTCTGTATGAACTTAACCCATGATGTCTAGACACATCTGCAGACACCCTGCTCAGGAGTTCACCTACTGTGAGCACCAAGGCACACTCTGGGCTCTGCATGTTGCCACACCTAGATAGCATCACTTTTTTATGGGTTTTCATTATGGGTGTCTAGTTATGTCTGAACGTTTGAAACTAATGACGAGGACACACCCAATTTCTGGTGTGTGGAAGAGAGGCATCGATTGAGCACTTATGGCATACTAGGAGTTGAGCTCTCTGCATTAGGAAAGGTAAGAGGGGACTCCTGCAGGCCAAACCCTCCTGCACATGTTTCCAATCCAGGCTCTGGGACCTGGCTGGACACTACAAGTGTGAACTACAGCAACTGGCAGGAAGGGCAGGCCACACCTGCCCCAGGGACCTGCGGCTACATTAGGAGTGGCCCTTCATCTCAGTGGGCTGCCTTGGAGGATTGCTCCCAGGCTTTTGCCTTCATCTGCGAGTTTGGTGAGTTGGTCCTGTGGGGACCCCCTCCCTGTCTCTCCCTCTCCCCCTGCCTGCCTTCTTCCCCCTTCAGGTCCCACCTCTCTAACTTTCTCTCTTTATTGATCACCGTCTCTATAGGTTTCTTGTGGTCTCTAATTCTCCTAACTCATTCTCTCCCATGGGTCTCTTTACTTTCCTCTCTCTGCAGTGTCCACCTCTCTGGGCCTTTCATCTTCCTGTTCAGACAGCTTGTCTGTTAGACTTACCCTGTCACCACCTTGTTCGTTTGGGACTTTCTAACCCTTTCCATCTCTGGGTCTTCCCACCCCTGTCTCTGCCTGTACCATTCTCTGTACCTCTCCTGGTCTCCAGCTGGCCCCACTCCCACTGCATTCTTGTATCTCACAGTCATGGAGCAGCATTTACCCAGCTCATTGCATGTTACTAAGTTGTCACCTTCCCTTTGTTGCAGGGGTCGGCCGCAGCCTGGCTTGTGAGGGCCACAATGCCACCATGCACTGTGGCTCAGGAGAAGTCATCCAAGTCCAGGATGCTTTCTATGGGCGCCAGACACCCTATTTTTGCACCCAGGACATCTGGCCTCCCTCAGACCTGGTGAGGGAATGTGGCTGGGCCAGCATCAAGGATGAGGTGGCAGGTAGGACCCCAGTGCTCCCCAGTTCTGCTTGTAGCAGAGTGGTTGCTGGTCTTCTGTACACAGCAAAGGATCCTGGAAGATTCTGATATTCTTCAGATATGGTCTGGGTCTCCTCCATGTGGGGAAGTCAGTCAGTCTCTGTCCATGGCACCAAGTTCTTGAGCAGAACATTGAGGCAGGTCCACCATAGTCATCACGCTCAGCTCCTGGGGCAGGAAGGTTTCTGATCCCCTACCCCTCCTTGGTGCAGAGAACGTCAACTTAGTTAGCCCAATTTTTAAAATGGCAAAACACTTCAAAGCTACAGGCAAGGATAAAGAGAGCTGGATTGTGTGGCTTATGTCTGTAATCCTTGAAGTTGGGATATGGAGGAAAGAGAATCCGGAATTCAAGGTCATCCCTTAGCGACCTAGCGAGTTTGCTGAGCTACATGAGACCCTGTCTCAAGCAAACAAACAAGCAAAGAATAAAGAATATTGTGATAATTTCCCAGGGAGTCACTACTCACCTGTGTCTTAAAATCATGTAACATTGTGTAACATGGCCTCCCGGGCTTATTGCTGCTGGAAATTCATTGTTTACTAATCATATTGGTCCTCAGTCCTGCCTTTTTTCTGTGCATCCCTAAGCCTGTGTGATTTTGGTTATGTAAATGGTTCTGTCTTCTATGTGTCATTCCACAGCACATTTTTAAAAAACTGTTAGCTTTTTGCAGCATTGTGCTTAACATTGTTTTGTTTTTGAGATGTGTGGTTCCTCTTGGTTCACGTTGTTCTAGTTTATTTCGTTTGTCTCTTATACAACTCTTCTTCTTCTCCTCCTTGCCCCACCCCGACCCCATGTGTGTAGGTCAGAGGATGACCTTAGGTGTCATGTCTCTAGGTTCATCTTCCTTGTTTCTCTTGAGACAGGGTATCTCACTGGACTGGAACTCACTAATACTAGGTCAGATGAGACTGGCTAAACAGTCAGCTCTAGGGACCTGCCTGTGTCCACTTCCTCAGTGCTAGGATTATAAATTTGTACCACTGCGCCCTGCTTTTTTATGTGGGTTCTGAGAGTTGAACTGGGTCCTTGTGCTGGCACAGTGGGCACTTTACCGACAGGGTCATCTCCCCAGTCCTTGAAGCAGACATTGCTGATGCCATCTCCTGTGTATGTGTCAGTTTCTCTAGGGCAACCCTCCAAATCAGATTAAATCTCAGATCCCTGCTTGCTCTATCAAAGTACTCAGTCTCAGGGCTTCCTGGGCATCCCAGGGTCTTCTTGTGAAGTCTCCAGAACCTTCTTTTATCTGGGATATCGGAGAATCTGCTGCAGTGACCACTGTCCAGACACCAGGGACCTGGAAGGCAGGTGTTCTTAATTCCTCAGCTAGTGAGGACACACAGTGCATGGTCAGCCTGGGAACCCTGAAGTCATGGGCCCAGCCTCTCCAGGTCTGCCTGTTAGCATTTTCCCTCTGAGGCTCTGTCTCTAACCAAAGACCTGTGATGATAGTAGGCTGCTTCTGCTCTTGCCCACTGAGCCTCCTCCCTCTGGGGAGATCATGTCTCTTTTCCCTTGGAATTCCCACTTGCTCCACTCCTCTTTCCCCGACATGATAGAAAATATTGAAATCAGCTTGTAGTTCTCAGCATCTCTCATCTGAGTTCCAGCACTCCTGAGCTGTATCATCCAAGATGGAAGGGCCTCAGCTGGACAAGCTGAGGGAGGCTTCCTCCTCACAGCACACTGGCGCTGGGAAGCTTGCTTCCCCAAAGGTTCAGCTGTAAATTTTGGAAACATGTCCACCAAATCCCAAAGAGCACATTGGAAGCGAGACCTGGACTCCACTGGGAAGGGTGAGAGAACCTGGCAGGGCCCCAACATCTGATTGTGTTTGAGTACCTGGTCACTCAATCATCCAGTGGCCAATAAACATTTATTGAGGACCAATGGTGCTATGCACTACCCTGGGCTTTGTAGAGATAGGATGAATCAAACTGTCTGCTTTCAAAGAGCTCAGAGTCCAGTGGGGAGACAGATAAATGCTGCCATGGAAGGAGCAAAAGGCACTATACTATGCATTGACTCATGTAAAATGTGCTTTCTATCTGTCTACCACATGCCAGCTGTGTGTGGAACACCCAAGAGTGCAGAGAGCATTTAAAATGCTCCTTAGGCCTTCAGAGACCACCATCTAGGGCTACGGGTGCACGTGTAACCAGGTGGAGAGGCATCACCAACTAGGCCTCACTGGGAATTATGCTGAGAGATGGGGACATGCTCAGAGCAGACTGTCTGCCTAGCATGTGGGATACCTTAGGTTTAATTATCAGAAACACGCCCCCACAGTCCTCCCCCGCCAGTCACAATCCAAAGAACCAATACTTAAGTTTTGAGTTGGATACCAACAGTCCCAGGAAGTGGAGACAAGAAGAGTGTTTGAGGTCAAAGATTAAGATCAACCTAAACAGTAAAGTGAAACTTCACCCATTCCCCCCTCCAAAAATATAAATCAGTCAGATGTAGTGATGCACCCCTTTAACCTCAGCACCTGGAAGGTAGAGACAGGTGGATCCCTCTGAGTTCAAGGCCAGCCTGATCTACATAGAGAGTTCTGGTCCAGCTATGGCTATCTAGTAAGACCCTGTCTCAAAACAGAAAAACACAGGAAGGAAGGAAGGAAGGAAGGAAGGAAGGAAGGAAGGAAAAGAAAAGGGAGGGAAAGAGATGAAAGGAAGTAGGGGAGAGGGGAAAGGGGGATGAGAAAGAAGGAAAGGGAAGGGAGGAAACCAATCAGTCAATCAATCAATCAACAATCAATCAATCAATCATGTTAGGTCATTCAGCGGGGAGTTTAATCCAGGGAGCTGTTTTCCAAAGTCCTGAAAGTTCTGAGAAACCAGACAGCTTCTTACTTCTCCCTAGTCCCTAGAACTGTGGGTGTGATGTGCTGGGGCTCAGAAAGCCACCACAAGGCACAGGGACTCTGCAGACGTGCTTAAGCTCACTAGTCACCTGACTTGAGGATAGGAGGTTTTCCAGAACTGTCCAGATGAGAACAATGTACACATGAGCCCCTCTGTCTCTGGATGGAAACAGAAGAGAGCTGGGGAGGAGAAGCCAGCGAGGTTCCAGGTGTGAGCAGGGCAGCAGCACCCTGGTGGCTTGGAGAGGCCTCGGATTCAAGGATGAAAGAGACACTAAGAGCATCCGAGGACTGGATTCTGCCTGGGATGGCTGCAGGCTTTCCCAGAGCCCCAAGAATGGAAAGCAGACCAGTTCAGCCTACCCAGATTTCTAACCTTTAGAACAGAGACACAAGAGCCTGTGTTGTTTTGAGCCACTGTTTGGGCTGCTGGAGATGAACATGTATCCTCCACATGTGCTTGGACTAGGGAGCCTGGGTAATGAGATTGCTTGTAATGTGCAACAGAGTCGGATAAGGAGATATGTGGGCCAGGACAAGGGACCACTGATTCCCCAGAGGAGGTCAGAGGTAAGAGGCTACCAGGAAAAGCACAGGTGGGTGCCTGGGGAAGTGGGGAGTGTGGGAAGTCCTACAGGAAGAAGGAATTTGTTGGTACAGGGAATTTCAGAATGTGGGGTATGTTTCTAGCACACAGGGAGACAGGAGATCCATCCAAGGAGCCCTGGGAATGGATGGAGGCTGCTGGGTGGGGGAGGAACTGGAACTTGGTTTTAAAGCTTTCCCCAAGCTGTTGTGAGCGCCTGTGTGTGCTAGAAGACAAACAGGGAGGCTGATATCTGAAACCTAGGTGGGATATGCAGGTGGCCCAGTGATAGATTTGAGAACTGGAGAGATTCTAGGCTCAGAAGCTAGCCTAGTGGTATTGCTCACTGGTGGGAGTTCTGGACACTGTGATTTTTCTGGATTGGACCACTCTGTGTCCTGAGGTACATAAGGCTGAAGGAGACAGTAAGAGAGGAAGGGTCCTACATGGGGAAAGAAGAGGCAGAGTAGTGCCACAGGCATATCAAAAACTGAGACCTTAAACTTGGGGTGTCAAATAAGAGACATTTATTCGCTAACACTTATGGAGGTCAGAATCCAAGATCAAGATATAAGCAGGACCATGCCCCCGCACCCGACTCCAAAAGCTGTGAGAGAAAAGCCTCCTCTAGTTGTTTTCTGGTATTCTTTGGTGTCCTTGGCTTGTGGGAGCATCACTCTCTGTTTCTACAAGCTGTTTTGGACCCCACGGTTCAAATAGTGAAGAAAGAAGGAATCCCTGCCCAGGACAGTTTCTAGAGACTGGGGGGTGGGTGGGTAATGTGTCTTGTTGACTAAACAACTACACATGTATTTAAATATGTAACAACTTAGAGAAAACACAGGTGACTTTGCTGCCCTCTTGGTTCTTAGCCCAGGGTCTGTAGGTGCCAACAGGCATTTGGTGGGCTTGTGGTGAGTAACTGAGTGGATGAAGTAACATATCTGTGACACTCTGCTGAGTTTATGTCCTCTTGTCTCCCACACTGTTCCTATCTCTGTGCAATGTTGATGTCTCCCAGGTCAGTGTCAGGGGCTGCAGGGTCCCCAGGTAGCAGCAGATGGGACCTACTTTGGAGACCTGAGCCCCACCAGGGGCAGCTACCTGTGGGTGCAGTACCAGTGTCTGGAAGGTGAGTCTCCAACTGGGTGGGCATGGGAATTTTCTTACTTCTGTTGTGTACCAGCCTGGAACGCCCTCCCCAAATGACAGATCTGATGTGTGCAATGAACTTCCCCTACAACAGCTTCCCTGTAACCAGAAGTTCCTGCCTTCTGGCCTGCTCCCTTGGAGCCATATACACACACACACACACACACACACACACACACACACACACACGCACACGCACACGCACACGCACACGCACACGCACACGCACACACACTTTCTTTTAAAGTAATAGAATGCTTGAAAAATGATTTTATGTGTATGAATGTTTTGCCTGCATGTATGTATGTATGCCACAAGTATGTAGTGCCTCAGAGGTCAGAGGTGGGCAATGGAGCACCTGGAATCGCAGTTACAGATGCTGTGAGCTGCCA